ATCTATCTATCTATCTATCTATCTATCTATCTATCTATCTATCTATCATCTCTTTGGTTATTTGGGTTTTCTCCCACGTAAAATTGGAAGTATCTTGGCAACGTTTCGACTCCCACCCAATTCTTTATATATATATGTATGTACACACACACACACACACATATAAAGAATTGGGCGGGAGTTTGTAATGTTCTCTGAAGTTTAATTCATGCTCTTTCTAACAACTGGCAGTGAACTACTACTTGGTCAGGAATGGTGGGTGAGTTCCCCACAACCCCAAAGGCTCAAGAAGAAGCACCACCAGCTGTTAATACAAGCCAACCACATGAATCGGGGTCGAAGAATAGGCCGGAAGTGACCATCGGCGGCCATCTGAGAGGAAAAGGGGGGGAGGAGAAAGTCTCTTCTAATTCTCGGTTGCAAATGGGAGGAAGGGGAAAAAATGGTTCAGCTAGCAATATATCGTGAATTGGGGTGTTGGTCAACATTGTGATAGAACTACCCTCAGCATGCTGACTGGGGGATTCTGGGAATTGAAGTCTACACGTCTGAAATTTTGAAAAACTCCGGTCTAAGTGATAAAAGTGCAAATCTAGAATTCAGGGCGGCTGGATTTAAATTCGGATGAATGTAAAAAGTTTTCATCTCTGGGCGTGCGGCTTTTGGTAACACAATGTGCAACAATGAGAGCAATCATCAACCAAATGGAACAGAAGTTGCCTTCAGAAGTTGTGGGAGCTTCATCACTGGAAGCTTTCAAGAAGAGACCGGAGTGCCATCTGTCAATAATGGTGTGGGGTCTGCTTGAGCGGGGGCGAGGGTTGGACTAGATAACCTACAAGGTCCCTTCCAACTCTGTTAATCTGTAACTGGGCTCAGCTATCCAAACAACCTGAGTTTACATACTGGGGCCATTTGTCAGAGCTGCTTGCATGGGGTCTGCAAAAATGGCGGCTGACGCTAGATGGCAGCAAAAGGGCTACAATTGTCTGCATCTTTTTTTAGCTGCCACCTGGTGGGTGTCTGGGGTTTCGCAGTGCAGGTTTGGCGGTCCCACCCTTTCTGCTGCTTTTTTTGGAGGGGTCAATTCCCTAGTGCCAACTTGTAATTTAAAGCTTAACTCCTACACTTAAGCCTCTAAATGGCAAGACTCGAGAAATTCCTAGCCGCCATAACAGCAAAAGGGCAAATAATAAGCACGTTCCCGCTGCTGCCTGAATGTGCGCGGCACATTAGACCGGGTCAACTTATGGTTCAGAGTGTTGTGGAAACCTAGCCATTGTCTGACGGGTTGGGGGGAAACCCCCCCCCCCCCGCCATCCAGGAAAGGTTTAATATGGTTGAATTTGCTTTGTTATATGTGAATAGCACAAATGGGGTTTTTGTTAGCCTGGGATTTAGAAGGTTAGGGTTATTAGAGCCGAGAGTACCGCGGGACTTTAAAGGGACTGAAATGTGCAGATACAGGTGGCGTGTCTCTTTGCGAGCGTCTAGCTTCTCGCACAGGTTTCCTCCGCCAAGAGGAATTGAACGACGCTCCCTTAGCAGGGCAGGACCCAACCCTCTCTTATGCCTGGGTCCTGATTCAGAGGTTAGGAATTTGCATCTGATTGCTATTTTGTCATCCTATGATTTGTCTATCCAGCTCTGTGCACGCCTTAGGCATCGTGGGAGGAGGAGGAGGAGGAGAAGGCCATGCAATCGCTTGTAAAGGGAAACTTACTAATCCAAGCCAGATAAGGGAGGCGGCATTAAAAGCGACGCAATTAAAAAAAGGAAGGAAGAAAAAGAAAGGGGGAGGGAAGACGCCGCAGCGAGGAAGAAAAAGAAGAAAGAAAAAAAAGGAGGAAAGAATCTGTCTGCAAGATCAAAAGGGAAGCATCGCGCGTGGAAAAGCGAGCGGCCCAGCTGGATCAGAGACTGGGTTCCCGGGAATAAAGGAGCCAGCCAGAAGGGAAAATGAGGCTCCCCTCGCCTGCCTCTCTGCAAGGTAAAATAGGCGCCGCGATTAGGAATCCGCTCTTCTCTAATGTGTGTTGGTTTTTTTTTTTAGAAATGGACAAACGGCTCCAAGCGGGTGTGTGTGTATGGGTGTGTGTGTGTGTGTGTTTTGAAATTCGAGCGAATGGAAAACAAAATTGTTGGCGTTTTAGAAGAGATCTTCAGCTTTCCCCTCCCTTCCCAAAGAAGGGAATGGAGGGGTTTTTTTTGGGGGGGGGAAGGGGGGAATAGAGCGATATAAATAAATGGCTAAATAAAGTTAATATGTAATGTGCGTTACTGGTTGAGCGAGACCTGGCATCGCCTCCGCGCCGCTGCTTTTCTTTTAGCCGCCCTTCGATTCCAACTTTATTTACTTTTGTTAAAAAAGAGAGAGAGAACCATGGTTATATTTGAAATCGAGTTGTGGGAGGAGGCGACGGGCAGAGGCGGCTCTCCTTCGAGTATTCCCCCCCCCCCCCCCCCGCCTTTGGGTGCAAATGAATCCCTCGCTTTGCCTCTTTCCTAAGCAAGCTGGGCAGTTCCACTCCTCGATTAACTTTGCAATTTAATTTTAAGCTGAGGTGTTTTTTTTTCCTTTAAAAAAGACAGTTGTAACTGTACGTCTTTAAAAGTAGCCCATTTGGCTCGCTTCGTCTCCTCCCCCCCATCACAATTAACATTTGTATGGATCGCTTAGCGACTTTTCCCTCACTGTTTTTCTGTTGGATTGTTCTAGGGCAATGTAGGTTGATTTTACACACGCATTACTGAGTCTCGAACGAGCACTTAAAAAAAATAATCTGCTTTAGTGGGTCTCGTTGAAAAGGCTGCGTTATACTTCTGTAATTTAATATACAAGCTGTTGTGACCCAGAATATTTCGTTCTGTGGAAATGCCCTTCTACCCTTTTTAACATTCCAGGTCTCTCCACCTTAACCTAGAAATAATCTTGTTAAAGATAGTATGCCATTAACAGCATGTTTATTCAGAAAAGTCTCCCACTTTTCTGCTGGGCCTAACTACCCTAGTAAGTGCGATTGTCAGTGTAGTTTAAGACAGCATTTTGCTTACTTGCCAGCAACAAAAGAGAGAGGATTTTTCTGTATTCACGTTGGAGGTACCTTCTATTCTTCCCTTGGCTCAAATGGAACACATATTTAATAAAATGGAATACGTATTTAATAAAAAGGGTGTGTAGTAGTAGCATGAGTCTCTTTTTGGACATTTGGCCAGTTCACCTTCAAGCCCCTTTTCTATAATATGTTTAGAAGGACTCAAGGTCAAATTGGTGAATGGACTAACTGAAAGCATGCACACTAGTGTGTGGGCAACAAGAGTGAGCTGAGAGATCTGATTGTGTTGACTTTGAAGGCACCAACTGGATCAATATATCATACCAAAACGCACTGCTTATCTTTTGCCTACCTATCAAAGCTTGCCTGTATTATTTAACCTGTGTGTGAAGGGATGGTTTTGGAAATATTGCTTTTAAAGGAAGGTACCCTTTAACTTTGTTATACAGTAGTTTTTGTCTGCATCCTGTGGCTATATTTCTCCTGACTGCTGAGCTGTCTCTATTATTCGACTTGGCAGGAATTACTAGTTTGATCTCTTTTTAAAAAAAGCTGAAAAACATGATTGAGGACTTGGATTTCCCTTTATAGTTCTGGCTTTTACAAGCTTCTCTCTAGCAGAGTGAGAGGTAATTTAGGGTGTTTCAGGGCCCTCTCTGGAATTTAGATCACCTGAGTCTTTTGCAAACTAGCAAAAATCCTGAAACATGCAAGATTGTGTCACTTCTGCTGCTTGTGATCACTGAGGCCTAGCTCCTTGACAGACAATGGTTTTGGGACAGCTTTATGCCCAGACATACATACTGTTTCCGTTCTCCTACCAAAAGTTACGTCTAGGAGAAGTTAAAAGATGGCCCCAGGTATTTAGAATCCAGCCTATGGAGTCCAGCCCCTTTGTTCTTTTTATCCTACTCACTAAAGGGTGACAAAATATTGAAACTGCTTGAAATGATGTTAATGAGTATGCAACACCTCCTTACCCCCAACATACTTTATGAGTTGAAAAAGTCTGGCTTAGTCAATGATTGCAATTTTATAAGAGAGTGACTAATAACAAGTAGTCAAGGTCATCACCATTGCAAAATTTGGCATGGTGCAAATGCGGGCAGACACATACATAATCTCATAGATACATATACGCTAAGGCTACAGAGTCCGTAGGCGGTATACAGAAAAGTTTATTGAGCTAGAGGCAATGAAAAGAGCTAAGCAGTTTTTTTAACCCCAAAATGTCCTTAAATGATCAATGCCAATTTACCTCATATCATTTATCAGTCTCATTAAAATGTTTAGTTGATTTATAACTCCTTAATTATAACTGGCTGATTGTATCACATTATCTTTGCTTAATTATAACTCAGGAAGTCGGTTTTAATTTTTAGCTCTATGCATCTACTGTGGCCTGTTCCTCTTATCAA